CTGGTCAGGCCTGAAGGGAGCTGGACAGCAGAAGCCAGCCTTTGTGCCCTTCCTCCTCCCCAAGAGAGAGGTGGCAACTGATGCCTCACCTTCTGCCTCAGGGGAGGGAGGCCTCCCTCTGTGTAATGTGGAAAGCCTGAGCAAGGTGCTTACCTCAGCAGCTTCCCCAGAGGCCATGGTGAGCTGTCTGTCCAGTCAGGCCTCAGTGTCTGACATCAGCAGCTGATGTGGCCCTTGAGAACTGGTCTCGGCAGTCCTCAGAATGAGCGTGTTGAATCTGGCAGAAGCAGTATGATGCTACTGGCCCGGGCCTGTCCTAGGTGAGCCAGGTTTAGGCTTTAAGACCCAGATGCCACAGGTAAGGCCAGTTAAGGCCCATTCTTCCCAGTCCTCTCTGAAGTCAGCCTCAAGTCCAACAAGCCCCGCCAAAAACAGGAAGTTGGGCAGAGCAAAGATGACCACACCCCAGGTCAGGGTTCCAGATCCCAGTCTACAGCACAAAGAACCATGCCCAAGCATGACGCTGGCTAGATGGCTGGTTTTGCGTACCAGAGGAAGATTCAGAAACAGGTGTGTGGCTGCCATGGGTCCTTGTGGGTGGACGACATGTACCAGGCCACTGGGTCCAGCAGGGGACTCAGCAATGGAGAGAGGCCCATGGGCAGGGCAGGGCTACAGTCCCCACCAGGAAGGACTAGTGGCTGACAGCTCCTCAGCATCTGTGGTTTTAATAAGAAGGACCCTCATAGGATCATAGGTTTGAGTACTCAGTCACAAGAAGTGGCACCATTTGAAAGGGTCAGAAGGATTAGGAGGTGTGTGGCCTTGGGAAGTAGTGTTTCAGAATGGGCAGTGGGTTCTGAGGTTTCAAAACCCCATGCTAGGCCCAAGCTTGCTCTCTCTATGGATCAGGATGTTGTTCTCCAGAACTGCTGGTTACACAGCAAGATCTGTCTCAAAAGACACAAGATAAATAAAACAGGCCAAGTCTCCTGAAAGTCTCAGTGACCTCAACCTGTGCGTACTACCTGCCCTGAGCCATTTCTGAGGCACCATAGGCTCAGTGCCTGCCTGCATGCTATCATGTTCCCCACCATGATGATAGTGGACTAAACATCTTTCAATAAGAGTTGGCAGTGGTGGCACATGTCTTTAATTCCAGCACTTGGGAGGCAGAGGTAGGTTAATCTCTGTGAGTTCGAAGTCTACAATAGCTAGTTCCAGGACAGGCTCCAAAGCTACAGAGAAACCCTGCAGTCATGGTGTCTCTTCACAGCCAGAGGATAAGACGGTGTCAGAGCGCTATGCCAGGGTCTCCTGCTTGCTGAATCCTAAGCCTGGGAGGCTGCAGAGGTAAGCACCCAGGGTAGTTGCCCCCACACTTCACCCAGCTATGACATGATGATGCCACAAGGGCCCTGTGGGGGTCGTGTATGTTTAAGGCTCATTGCTGCTCAGGTTGCTTGGCTCCCCAGCAAGCAGTTCAAGTGGACACTCACAGGGCTCCCAGTCCTGATGTTCTGTAGTGAAAGTGGCAAAGTCAACACTCCATCCTTTGAAAAGGCCAAATGTCATTGTTCCTAGAAGTGCTTCCAAACCATGTATGTTGTTGCTACAGTCCTTCCACTTCAGCCCAAGGCTGGACCTGAGGGGTCCACTGGGATGGAGAGTCACACGGCCCAGAGGCTCCCTGCAGCATGGGAGACATGTAAGACGGGGAAGAATTCCAGGACACCGAAGGGAGCTGGAGAACTATCTGACCTGTGCGAATCCAGTCTGACATGAAGACAGGAGGGGGGACCAGGTTCAAGTTATGCTCAAAGGGTTTTGTCTTCTCTTTCAGCACTGACTGGTCAGTGGTGCTGTAAGGGAGGCCATGTCAGCAAAAGCACCACTCACATGCTACCTATGAAATGGCTCAGGGCAGGTAGTGAGCACAGGCTGAGGCTCACACTGAGACATTTTCATGAGACTTGGTCCATTTTACTTACCATGTATCTTGAGACATGTATCTTGTTGTGTAGGCCAGCAGGTGTAGAACTGTCATGCCTCTGCCTCCAGTATATGTCACCACCAGGCTGCTCTGGCTCACTTTCCAGTACTCTGATGGGTGCTCTGAATTTGACTACTTGAATCTTTTGCTAGGTTTTGTGAGACAGGGTTTTTCTGTGTAACAGCCCTAGTTGTCCTAGAACTAGCTCTTGTAGACCAGGCTGGCCTGGAATCACAGAGATCCGCCTGCCTCTGCCTCCCGAGTGCTGGGATTAAAGGCATGCACCACCACCGCCGGCACAATGAATCTTTCATGTGCTCATTTCTAGCACCTTGGTCTGCATCTTGAAAGGCATCCACCTGCAGAACCCAGGAGGGAGGATGAGGCAACTGAGTGGCACTGACCTCAGGCCTCTGAGAGTCAAGTGACCCTGTGTGAAGGGTTCAGGGTTCTGCCTCCAAACACTCGGGAGAAGGGGGTGTATTTACGGCAAACTGTTGTAGGGTCTCAGGGCTGACTAGGAGACGGAAGGAGAGTCTGTGAAAGGTGTCCACTGTGACAGCACTCAACAGTTTTATTAGGTGGACCAGCCCAGTGTGTGGCTGAGAAGCATCATGCTGCTTCTCAGACCTGCCCAAGCTGAGGCTGAGCGCCGCTCTGCAATCAGTGAAGAACACAGTTACTGCACTGCCAGAGTGCCATTACTACCAGGGGGTGGGGCGAGCCCAGGATCAGAACACCTCTGACCATGCATGTGCGTGTCCTGTGAACCCATTCATGGAGAGAAAAAAGTGTCCTCCACTGGTACATCAGAACCACTCAGAGCCTGGTGAGTCCACAGCTTGGGTCGCTCTCAGTCCTCAGCAAAGCAGGGCAGAGTGAAGTCCTCCTGACAGACTGAAGTCCTGACTACAAGGCGAGGAAATGGGCAAGGACTCCTGTCACAGGCACACTCCTCCCACAGCATCCGCCTGTCCAAGAATCACCAGAAGCTGCCGCTGGGCCTCACTGCATGCCGAACCACTGCTCCTGGTCAGCCCACTGGGCTGCCTCACTGTCGCTGCCTTCCAGGTCCCCTTCTTCCCCACTCCCTTCCATGTCATCCACATCTTCCTCCTGGGTAGCATCCGTAGGACTCTCCTCCTTCTCCATCTTCTGCATGCCCTCTAGAGACTTCTGGTCATTGGGGTCCAAACTAAGGAAGAACAAAACACAGAAGAGGCCTGAGTCTCTGCCTTGCTCCACTGGACTGCTCTGTCACCAAGCTGGCCCAGCAGTGAAACGCTAGGGTCAAGATGATGCAAATGACTGTGTCTCCCAAGGCTGGACCCAGGGAGTCCATCAGAAGTGAAAAGAGGCACTGTCTTAAGTTTTAGAAATTTTAACTTGAGGGGGCTAGAGGGGTGGCTCAGCGGTGAAGAACACTTGTTGTTCATTCAGAGGACCTGGGTTCAGTTCCCAGCACCCACATGGTGACTCATGACCACTTGTGACTCCAGTACCCAGGTATCTGACACCCTTTTCTGGCCTCTGTGGGAACCAGGCACACATGGTATACAGACATATATGCAGGCAAAGCAACCATACATAAAATAAAAATAAATTAATAAACAATAAAATATAATGACTAAAATTGCAATTAAAAATTCTTAATTAGTCAGTGGTGGTGCACACCTTTAATCCCAGCTCTCGGGACCAGAGGCAGGCAGATCCCTGTTAGTTTGAGGCAAGCCTGGTCTACAGAGTGAGTTCTAGGGCAGGCTCCAAAGCTACACAGAGAAAGTCTGTCTCAAAAAAAAAAAAAAATCAAAAACAACAACAAACAGAAAAACCAAAGAAAGAAAAAAAATTTAAGTTTTTCCTCCATAAAGTTTTCTTTAAAAAAAAAAGATTTATGTATTATGTATACAACGTTTTGTCTGTGTATGCCTGCAGGCCAGAAGAGGGTGTCAGACCTCATAGATGGTTGTGAGCCACCGTGTGGTTGCTGGGAATTGAATTCAGGACCTCTGGAAAAGCAGGCAGTGCTTAACCACTGAGCCACCTCTCCATCCCCCTCCATAAAGTTCTTAAACCATTTCACAACTACCAAGCTCTAGCACTGTGCTAGCAGGAGCAGCCAGACACAGGGAAGCATGCCAGTAATCCTAGCACTTGGGTGAGGAAGAAGAATCAGGGTACCGTGGTCAGCCTTAGGTACATAATGAGTTCGTGCAACCTGCCTCTTCTGTGTGCCACTTATGTCCATTTTATCACAAAGACTGCATGCTACACCGTGGAACTGATTCTAAATTCTGAGAATAGGAACCAGGACCAAGGCATTTTCATTAGTAGCAAACCCACAAAGACGGGAGCCCCAGAATCCTCATTTATTTGGCTCCTTAAGCAAGCACTCTCCCTCTGAAGCAAGTCCCCAGCCACAAGCAGCCTTTCTCCAGTGATGACTGCCTATGGCAGTTAGTGGGTTGGCAAATACCTCTAACCTTGGTGCTTGACTTTATTCCAGGCCATGCTGGAATCCTGTTCCTGCTCACAGACACAGGGTAGTTTGTTTTATCTCCTCCTTACCCAAACCTTACACGAAACTCTTGCCTACCCAGAGGCTCATACACTTCGGCCCACCCTACAGACTGCAGCAAAGAGTTCTGTGTACTGGGGGGCTGGAGAGATGGCTCAGTGGTTAAGAGCATTGCCTGCTCTTCCAAAGGTCCTGAGTTCAATTCCTGGCAACCACATGGTGGCTCACAACCATCTGTAATGAGATCTGGTGCCCTCCTCTGGCCTACAGGCATACACACAGAAAGAATATTGTATACATAATAAATAAAATAAATATTTAAAAAAAAAGTTCTGTGTACTGTGAGTGTCACTGAGTGCTCAGAAGTGCTGCCTCAGCTACCTCTGGGACAAGTGAACAGATGAATGTGAGGCTTGATGAGGACAGCTCCTTGCTATACCTAATACATACTCTCAAGCCTCAAAAAAAAAAAAACCCACTTCTGCACTAATCAGCAAAAATGCCTGCATTTATTATTTACTTCATACCAGGTACAGTGCTAAGCACTTTTTATTGAATACTCTGAATTCTCATTCAGCCATTTATTTATTTTCAAAAATAAAGTTTATTATTATTAATTAGAGAGTGTGTGTGTGTGTGTATGCATGCAGACGTTTGTCTGTGTATCATGTATAAGTCATGGCATGCATGCAAAAGTCAGAGGACAACCGTGGTTCTCTCCTGCCACCTTTATGTGGGTTCCGAGAACCGAACTCAGGTCTCCAGGGTTGTGTGGCAAGCACCATTACTGGCTGAACCATCTTGATAGCCCTTAACTCAGTCACCTAATAACCAATGAAGTAAATATAACAAGGAAAATGGTTAGTATTTTGACCAAGATGACAGGTAAAAGCTGTATTTAAACTTCAGAATTTAAGTTTTTAGTTATTATAGAAGGTAGAAATACAGGAAAACACTTAACAATACTTGGATTTAAAAAAGATATACTAGGTAAAATCCTATAAAGTCATGGCATGGAGCATCTGTACAAACCAGTCTAATGTTAGGATGGGGCTGGAGAAGAGGGAAGCATCTCTAACTCTGTTACTAATGCTTTCGGAAACTTTGTCAGAAGTCAAGGATTCACAAACTCTTCTCATTACTATTCTCAGCCTGCCTTCAACTGTGGGCAAAGCAGGTGTCTGCCTCCTCTCCCTTCCTCCCTCCCCATGGGGCTGAGCACCTACCTCAGTGCTATACTGTACTGGTCCATTGCTTCCTGGTATTCGTTCACAGCTACTAGGAAGTCCCCCAGGATCCGATGGAGGACACAGTCGCTCTGGTTGGCCAGGGCATTCCTCAACAGAGCAATTCCATCTTCATATTTCTGTTCCCTGCCTACAGAGAAAGACAATCTTCACTGTTCAGCTAGTGTACAGTCACACCCACCACAATATGACAACTTCCCCAGAGACATCCTTAAAGGGCACTGCAATGTGCCTTTTCACTCATGTGCGTGTGGTCTTTATTTCATTGGGAAAATGGTATAATGAGTACTGAGTCTTTAAAAAAAAAACATTTTATTATGTCAATTTATGTGAAAGGAAGTGAGCATACCACAGCACATGAGTGAAGGTCAGAGGACAATTGTGGAAGTTGATTCTGTCCTATCAAATGGGTCCTGAGGCCTGAACTGAAGTTGTCAGCCTTGGTGGCATCTTTACCTGAGCCACTGAACCTGTGTTCTGAATCTTTAGATATACTTAACTTAAAAAAAAAAAAGCACGCTAGTGCACGCCAGCATTAGGGAGGCAGAGGCAGGAGGATCTCTGTAAGTACGAGGCCAGCCAGGAGCCAGGTCTACAGAGCAAGTTCCAGGACAGTCAGAGCTAATACACAGAAAAACACTGTCTTGAAAACTAAACAAAACAGTCAAATTCAACTTTACTTCCCAAACCAGCAAAAACATAGGAGTTTATTACGAGTCAGAACAAATGGTGTCCCTACTTATGTGATGTCCTGTGCTGCCTTTAGAATGCAGATGGCAGCAAGAAGGCCAGCACCAGATGAGACCACTGGCCCTGCACTAGAACCTCGAGTCAAAACAGCTTCCTCCCAGCATCATGTAAACATATGGTTATGCTAGGAGCAAGAACAAAGCCCAGAGGACCCAGACAGCTCAGAACAGCTCAAACTGACTAAAACCAGCTGCATTCAGACTAAAGCAGTTCAAAACTAAACCAGAGATGAGCCGAGCAGCTACCAAGTGATTTTAGCTGGTTCACACCAATCTAAGTAGGCCTCAGGCACGTCTGGTTGTGATATATGTAAAGCATTTCAGGCAGGCTCAGAGCTGCTCTGTCATCCTAAGCTTCAGGGACTGCAGCATCCACTGGAGATGTGGGTCCCAACAACCAACGAAGAACACAGAAGGGTGGTGCACTCACTGAGCAGCTCTGCCTTTTTCACAACAGCCTTGACATAGTCCGGCCTCTGTGCCAGTGCTTTATCTAATAAAGTCTTGGCTTTCTCTTGCGTCACTGGATCTTCCAGACACACGGTGGCTAACAGGGTAAGAGTCTGCGCATTTGCACCTAGAGTTTTGTAAACATTATTGGCCATCACCATTGCTTCTCGAATGCTGTTTGAAGCTAAATAACATTCTATGAGACCTGAAAAACAAAGCAGAGATGCTGTACCACCAGCCGGCCCCATCACATCACTCCCTGTGCTCTGCCGCACCCGCCCTGCTGTGCCTTCCCCCATTCTAATGACCCAATGGAATTGCAAATGACCCAGCACAGCCTCTGACTATATAAGCACATTTTTCTTCTTTCCAACTTCAAATTTTTCTCTTCAAATTTGAACTCATCTTCCCGTTACGAGACAGACTACTGAGCTTATTTTTAAATTCTTATAAAAATGTTTTAGAGGAACAGAATCTTGTAAGAGCTATTTTAGTTTCGGTGACTCAATCACCAAATGTTGCTAAACCTGGCATAGCTCTGCTGAGCTACAGCAACAATCCTTTCTCAAAAAATATTAATAATAATATTTTTAAAAATTAACCAACCAATCAATGCTAGAGAGACTCTGTCTGGTTTTTAAAGCTGCTTGTCCTCAGCCACCATGACGCTAACGTACAACAGAGCTCTGAGCTAACAAAACCTTCCATGTAGTGCAGCTGTCACGTCAGACACACTGGCAGTCTCCTATCTTACCTTCATAACAGTCTAAGCGACAAGGTGCGAGTCTTATGGCCTCCCGAAAATGTATGATAGCTTCCTGGACTCTGCCCATATTCCTGAGTGCTGCTCCTTTGAGGAGCAGAGCTTGGACACTGTTGCTGTTCAGCTGAATGGCCTTGGCACCCAGGTACAGGGCCCGAGAGTAGCGTTTGCTATAGAAGCTATGGCATCTAGGGAAAAGAACAAGTTATTTGAAAAAAGCCTCAATGCCAATCTGGGAGTGCAAATTCCTTTAACCTTAGCACTTAAGAAACAGACAGACTGTCTTTAAAAACAAAGCAAAAATCAAAAAAGTTGTCCAAACGGCTCAGAGGACTAAGGTGCTTACAGCGGAGCCTGATGACCTGAATTCAGCTCCCAAGACCTACACGGGAAGCAGAGAACCGCTCTTGCTAACTGTCTTGTGATTCCACACACATGTGGCAGGTGTTGACACATTCACACACAATAAATAAAATATAATAAAAATCTTTTGAGGAAGCTTCATCCACAATCAGAGAAAGTCAATTACAAATTATGCTTACAGCTACAATCCAAATATCAGTAAAGAAGCTAAACAAAACAAATATAAGCCAACTAAGTATGACTCCGAGGGGCATCTCACACAGGCACGGTCAGCATGTGGAGGGTGGAGTAAAGAGACTCAGAAGTTGAAGTGCAGTGAATAAGTGACCAGTGTGCTCGGCCACAAACGGGAGAACTATGTCACATCCCCTTTCAGAGAGGCCATGGTAGAAGAGGGCAGAAAGAGTCTGGGAGGACTGGTGCAGTACCATCAGAACATTACAGAATGCATGCGTTCCTGAATCCACGGAGCTGCAGTGCCTGCAAAATCAACATTCCAGCTTGGAAGGGGACAGGGTCTATGACATCCCACCCATAAATGAGGACCTATGGATAGTTGGTGGCTCTGGGGAAAGGAGAGTCCATTTTCCTTTAAGTCTGGCTCCTGTGGGTCAACTAGACTCCACTGTATTGCCCTATACTCAAAAGAAAATGGAAAGCACAAAATGGTGTCAAAGGTTTATTAAATAAAAAAGAGAATAGTAGGTTGGGAAAGGGGTAGGGAGGATGGATCTGCTGGAATTAAGAGGAGTCTGGAGTGAATATGATTAAAATACTGACGTGGGATTCCCCTCTGTATGCTGTGAAGACCATAATAAAGGAACTGATCTGGGCCTATAGCAGTGCTATAGGGGAACAGAATTAGGCAGAGAAAACTAAACTGAATGCTGGGAGAAAGGAGGTGGAATCAGGGAGAAAACGCACTGAAACTTTGCTGGTAGGCCACAACCTCGTGGTAATGGACAGATTAATGGAGATGGGTTAAATTAAGATGTAAGAGTTGGCAAATAAGAAGCCAGTGACTTAAATAATATAGTTTCTGTGTGATTATTTTGGGGCTGAGCAGCCAGGAACAAACTAGCGACCTCTGTACAACTAATTACAATGTACAAAGTTCTCTAGGAATTAAAAAAAAGGATCAGAAGTCTAAAGCCAGCCTCAGCTACATGGTAGCCCCAGTCTTAGGGTACATGAGACTCTCTCAAAAAAACAAAGGATAGCCTAGCATTGTGACACAGAAGGAGGATCTCTTTTGAGGTCCAGGCCAGCCTGGTCTACATACTAAGTTATGGACAGCGAGGATTACATAGAGAGACTTAGTTTCAAAACAACAGCAGCTCTTTGGTCTCCATAGCAGAAACAAGATGAGGAAAGATGCTGAACATCATCCTTTGGAAAGTTTTGCAATAACATGCACAGGTTGTGTAGCTAACAACGTAGTAACAACATGTTGTGTAGTAACAGTACTGCCGTAGCTCTAAGGCCTACCACCTTCAGAAGTCTACCTATGGCAAATATAGCTTCCTACCAACACTAAGAGAAAGCATAACTAGAGTGTCAAGGCTAAGAAAAGAAACACTACTGGGATTGGGCCAATGAGGTTACCTAAAAATTATCTATCACAGATTAGGACATGGATTCTGTGCCAGGCAGTGGTGGTGGTGCACACCTTTAATCCCAGCACTTAGGAGACAGAACAGACAGATCTCTGTGAGTTCAAGACCATCCTGGGCTACAGAGCAAGTTCCAGGGCAGCCAGAGCTACAAAATAAAACCCTGTCTCGGCATAAAACAAAACAAAAAGGCATGGCTTCTGTGAAGGAACAACACCTAGCCCCAAGAGGGCGGCTCTTGTAGCATTCAGTTCATCTTGAAGATTAATAGTCAGAAAATAAAATGTCCTGGTTTAAAAACAAAAACAAAAAGGTCAAAAAAGACAAAAAAATGATCCAGAAAAATTAAAAATAAAAATAAAAAAGAGGACTAAAGAGAAGGCTCAGCAGTTTGGTTCCCAGTATCCACACGAGCAGTTCACAACTGTCTATAACTTCAGCTCCAGGAGATTCAACATCCTTTTATGACCTCCACAGGCACCTGCTCATACATGGTACATACTCACACATTCAGAAAAGTTTAAAAAAAAAAAATACCACCTTGAAAAAAAAAATCTGGCAGTGGTGGTGCACACCTTTAATCCCAGCACTTGGGAGACAGAGGCAAGTGGATCTCTGTGAGTTCAAAACTAGCCTGGTCTACAGAATGAGTTCCAGGACAGCCAGGGCTACACAGAGAAACCTTATCTTGAAAATCAATCAATCAATCAATCAATCAATCAATCAATCAATCAATCAATCGAGGGACTGGAGACTTGGCTCAGTATTCAGAGCACTTGTTGCTCCTGCAGAGAACCAGGGTTTAATGTCCAGCACCATCTGTAACACCAGCTCCAGAGAAATTGACCACAGCAAGCACCAGCCACTCATGTGGCACACAGACATACATGTAGGCAAAAACATGCAGACACATGAAATTTAAAACAAAAAAAAATGACTAGAAGGATATCTAGATATTGTCCTTATAAAAGCCATGTGGTGGGGCTGGAGAAATGGCTCAGCCATTAAGAGCACTGACTGCTCTTCCAGAGGATCCGGGTTCAATTCCCAGCACCCACATGGCAGCTCACAACTGTCTGAAAATCCAGTTCCAGGGGATCTGACAACTTCACACCAATGTACATAAAGATAAATAAAAAAAAATAATAAAGTGTGTTTAGTGTCAAAAAAAAAAAAAGCCATGTGGTGTAGGAGGTCCTTCTGTTTATGTGTTGCTTTCATTGGTTAAATAAAGAAACTGCCTTGGCTTTTTGAAAGGGTAGAACTTAGGCAAAGTAGACAGAGAACTTAGGCAGAGTAGACAGAGCTAAATGCTAGGGAGAAGGGCAGACAGAGAGCCACCATGGAGCTGCCAGAGACAGAGAAGCTGAATCTTTCCGGGTAGGCCATTTCCACGTGGTAATACACAGATTATTAAAAATGGGTTAAATCAAGATGTGAGAGTTAGCCAGAAAGAGGCCAGGCAGAAATTTAATTAATACAATTTTTGTGTGGTTGTTTCGGGTGTAAGATAGCAGGGTGGCTGGGACGACAAGCAGCCCACTCCTCCTGTTACAGCCATGTTGTCATTACGGTTTTATTTCTGTCAGTGTGAGGCCAGTACTGATTGCTCTTACCCTGAGTGAGGCATACTAAACACAACACATCATCTCTGTTCATAATCCTTGAAATAGGGATCATTATCCCGGTCTCCAAATAAGAAAACATACTCAGAAGAATCAATAAATGCCTGCCCAAAGTCACAGGCACATCCTGATTTGATTCAGTTCTCATGACTGTAATTTCAATTTTTTATTTAAAGACACAGTCTTAACTATGGGGTCCTGACTGACCAGAACTTGCTATGAAGACCAGGTTAGCCCGAAACTCACAGAGATCCACCTGCCTCTGCCTCCTGAGTGATGAGAATAAAAACCTGCACCACTATGCCTGGTTCAACTCATAGTCTCTTAAAGAGAAAAAAGTATCTTTTTAAAAAATCGACTGAAAATTGGAGAGAAAAGAGAATGAATAAGCCAGCATACCCAGAGACCACCCAGGGCTCCGCGTGCTGATCTGAAATGTTGAAAAGGCGGCAGCCAAGGTTCTCCACATCCTCCAGTCGCCCTTCTCGTGCCAGGAGGTAGCCATAAACATCCATTCCTGAAAGAAACAGCATAGTAATAAGAGGTTCTTCTACCAAAGAGGTTAGGTCCTCAGAAAAGGCAAAGGAGGCAGGAGAAATGGCTCAGCAGTCAAGAATACTTCTTGCAGAGGCTCGGGTTCAGTTCCTAGCACCAATATAGAGGCTCAAACCACATGTAACTTTAGTTTCAGGGAATCTGACCTCTGAGGGAAACAGGGATGTACATAGTACACATGCATACATGAAGGGAAAACACACACAGAAATTTTTAAAAGTCAGAGAAGGGCCTGTGAAATGGGTAAAGGAAACTGCCACTGAGCCCGATGAATCAAAGCTCAATCTCCATGACCCACAATCTCTACGCACATGGTAGAGAGCCACCTCCCAAAAGTTGCCCTCAAACTTTCTATGTGCGCACATACCATACACACACACATATACACAAATGATTTAACTTTAAAAATTAAATAAGCCGGGGTAAGAGTGGCATATGCCTTTAGTTCCAGCACCCAGGAGGCAGAGGCAAGTGGATCTCTGTGAGTTCAAGGCAGTCTGGTATACAGAGGGAATTCTATGATACCCAGGGCTGTTATACAGAGAAACCCTGTCTCAAGAAAAAAAAAATCCTCTGGAGATGCAGCTCAGTTGGGAAAGAAGTTGTGAGCATGCAAGGGTTCAATCTCTAGCACCACATAAATATAATGGTGGCACAGGTCAATAATCCCAGCATTTGGGAAGCAGGAAAAGCAGAAGTTCAAGGTCAACCATAGTTATAAGAAACCTCCTCTCAAAGTGACTGGATGAATGAACAGCAAACTAGCCAAAACAAAAAAGGCCTCTCTTCTGGCCTCTGAGGGCTCCTGCACACACATGCTCAACATAAACTTGCAGGCAAACACCACACACATGAAAGAAAGAAAGACAGAGACAGGCAGGCACAGGAGTAACAGATACTACATCACAACTTGAAAGCCATTCATGTCAAGAACTGTCTGTCCCTAAATCTGTAGTGTGGTGAACAACTGCCCAGAAAAAGACCCCAAAAAGGCATCTCATAATTGCTGTTACTCAAGAGCCCTCAGCCAGCACCACATGCTTACTATGCTGAAAAACACCCAGTATCAACAAACAAACAAATAAAAATGGCCTCTGGCCTCTGCCCCAAAAAGCAGTAGTTTTGTTCTGGAATGTAATTCACTAGGGAACCCACCCCTCTCATTCTTCACCCTGCCACGTCCTTTTCACTCCTCCCTCACGGTTTATAAAGGCCATACTGACTCTCACGAACCTCTTCCTACTGTTCTCCTTCCTTATCATCCCTTCAAATTCCCACTCCTCACAGCAAGATCAAAGCCACACTTCTGCTAGCCTGGGTTTTGAGTGTAAGTATCTAACTCCAAGCTATCAATGCCACCAGTCTTGTATTTCTTTCTCTCTCTTTACTTTTTTGTTTTTAATGCTTTTTTGTTTTGTTTTGTTCTGTGATTTTTGTTTTTTCCAGACAGAAGTATCTCCGTGTAGCTCTGGCTGTCCTGGAACTCACTCTGTAGACCATCTCTGACCTCAAATTCAGAGATCCACCTGCCTCTGCCTCCCAGGTGCTGGGATTAAAGGTGTGTGCCACTACTGCTGGCTTCTATTCAAGTAGCCCAGAATGGACAATGAACTTGAATTGCTGATCCTTCTTTTTCTACTTCTCAAGTGCTGGGATTACTAATGTGCTGTAGGTAGATTGAAGAGGAATAAACACCAGACAGGAGAAGATCTTGCACGAACACACATTCTAGACCGTTCCCACATCTCGATACTTGGGAAGGCCCCTTCAAACCCTGTCATCTTTTTTGTTTGGTTGAGTCAGGGTCTCACTGTATAGCTAGCCTTGATCTCACAATCCTGCCTCAGCGTCCTGAGTGTTAGAACTATCATTCAGTCATTCTTTACTTATCTAAGCCTGCTTGCTGTCCCGAGGCACAGTCTTCTGTTGGCCTCTGTTGAGTCTTTATGATCTCACTTCCTTGAGCATTCGATTTTTCAAACTGCTGGTCCCTTACCTGCCTCTCAGGCCACTGTGCCTTGTTCCTTTACCTGGAACTGCTTCTAGATCAACAGCTACTCTGCTTGCTATGATGACACTTTAACCACTCTGTCCCTTTCCTAATATCCGTTCCCTACTTCTCCATAATTATACTAAGGACAGAGTAAAACCAAAGTCCCTAAAAGGACATTAGGGTTCTGCAGATGCCATCAGTCAGCCACATCATAAATTTATAATTCACGGGGACGGGTGCCATGATACCCCTCAAGAGAAAAAGCTAAGCAATGGTCTGTAAGTAGAAAACAACCACTCAGAATAGAATTAGCTAAGTGTTAGAGACATATGCCAGGACAAGGCAAAGGACTGCTCCGGTAAGCGAGCCTCACAGAAGCTGTCTTGAAAACGACAGTAGCAGAGCTGGGCACCATGGCAGCACAAGCCTCCTCGGAAGGTAGAAGCAGGAGAATCAAGAATTCAAAGTCAGGTTCAAAGCTAGCCTGGCTACATGAGACCCTCTCTTCAAACAATAAAAAAAAAGGGGGCTGGAGAGATGGCTCAGCAATAAAGAGCATGTACTGCTCTTCACATGACCTGAGTGGATTCTAACACCCCTGTCACATGGGTCATAACTCCAACTCCTGGGGAATCCAATACCTCTGGCCTCCAAGGGCACTGTACTCACGTGTACATGCCCACACACAGACACAGTTACACACAATTAAAAATAAGCCTAAAAGCAACAACAATAACAAAAACCAAGAAACACGAAGTGCCAACGGCACATTCTTTCTGCCTTTTCTCTTAGCTGCCTTTTACAGACACTCTATGGCCCCAGAATTCACCTTTTATCAGATAAGGATCCAACATCTGCGCCTGTTCAAACTTGAGGACGGAGTTCTTACTGTCTCCTGCTCTGAAGTACAGGTCTGCCAAGCTCCCAAGCAGGTCCACGTTGTCTCGCAGTAAGGATTTTTTCTCCAGTGAACTTAAAAGATATTAAATACTAACCCTTAGAATCTGTCATAAAGCTTTAATCACTGCATTTGGGGGGCGGGCATATAGATGACATACTTTTCTGTATGTACAACATTGTCATAAAAAGGGTTTTCGGGGTTGTTTTTTTGAGGTAGGGTTTACTACTTTATCCAAGTTGGCCTTGAACTCATGATCCTCCACCTCCCAAGTTCTTGTATTTATACACAGGCACAATAACTCCTAGCTATAATAATAATTAAGCAAGCAAGATGGCTCAACAGGTAAGGGCAGCACTTGCCACTAAGCCTGATGATCTGCATTTGATCCCTGAGACCTACACAGTAGAAGGAGAGAACGGGCTCCTCCAAATTGTGCTCATGAACAATAAATAAATACAAATGTAATTTTAAAAACTTTTAAAATGACCTAGGTACAATGGTCATTTTTTTGCCTAAGGTTCTTTCAAAGATACATAGGGGGCTGGAGTGATGCTTCTGCAGAGGACCCATGTTCAATCCCAGCCCTAGCACAGCAGCTTACAACTATCTGTAAGTTCACTCCCAGGGAATCCAATGGCCTTTGTGCACTTAGCATACACATGGGATACAAACAGACATGCAGACAGAACAACCATATACATAAAATTAAATAAATAAAATGGTTCAAAGTTATACAATGAAATGGTGTGTGTGTGTGTGTGTGTGTGTGTGTGTGTGTGTGTGTATCAAATATAAACCCTTAAATCTACAAAGAACTTTCTGGTTATGATTTTCCTCAATTTTTTTTTCTTTTGGAGACTGGGTTTCACTATGGAGCATTGGCAAGCCTACCTATGCCTCTTGAGTGTTGAGATTAAAGGCGTACTACCACACCTTGCAAGGCTATAGTTTAAAAAAATACATAATTTTTATATGTCATTCACAAGTGACAACTACTCATGACTGAAAAAAATATATAGCTTTTTGTCCTAGGACTATGAATAGAAAGAAACGCCAATTACAAAGAGGTACCCTATGGAAGGTGTTACAATAAATACATATACCAAAGAAAAAGGCGTGAACATATGATATCCACAGCAGTTTGCTCGCTGAGGGTGGCCATCTTCACATGAACAGAGCAGAACTCAGTCCAGCTTTTCATTTCTACAGGTTCCAACAGTTTATTACATTTGCAACCATTTAGTGCATTAGAAAATACTGCCTAAAGACTGTAATTCCAAGCAGTAAGCATCTACTTTTTCTGCTTTACCAGAAATACATCAGATTTCCAGACAAGCAAAGGGTCTTAAAATCCTTGGATTAAGCCAGGCTTGGTGGCTCCTGCCTATAGTACCAGCAACAGGGACACTGAGGTTGGGAGACTGAGACCAATTCAAGAAAAACTCAGACCATGTAGTAAGATTTTACATATCTCAGACCGTGCCTCCCACCAAAACAATCTCAGAGTTTATGTCCTGGCTCTCACCAGATGGTGTTGATTGCTCTCGAGTTGTCCCCAGTGTGCACAAAAGCATATGCTTTAATCCACACAGACAGCCAGTCCAGGTTGGGCACAGTCTGGATCACATTCATCGTCATTGATGCCACCTCTGCACCTTTTACAGAAAGGGATAACAAACCTAATCCCCCCCAAAAGCAAGAGAAAGGTGAGGCATAGCATCTTCCTCCCACAGTGCAGCAAACAGCAGGCTGCATAGCTGCCTTCCCTAGTCTAAGCAATGAAGCAATGCATACAACACTAAGAGGTCAGAGCCTCAAGCATGGTAAGCACATGCTGCCACTGTGTTATTACCCTAACCCCAAAAAACAGGCGTTACTCTTTATTTCAAAATGACAGTATTTAGAAAGTTTTAGGCCTACTCTAGGGGCTGGAAAAAATGGCTCAATGGTTAGGAGCACTTGCTGTTCTTGCAAATGATCTGGGTTTGATTTCCAGAACCCACGTGACTTAAAACTATCCACAACTCCATTTCTTGGAGTTTCAATGTCCTCTTCTATCCTCTATGGGCACCAGGCATACACATGGTTCACAAATATACATATAGGCAAAAACTTCATTCATACAAAATAAAATTAAAGTCTAAAAAATGCCCTACTCTATCTAATGCATACTTATAATTGAGAACTATCATCTTTGACTGCAAATACCCCAGGCAACAGGAAGAAAACTTTCTATACCTAGAATGGCGTCAAGAGCCAAGGGGCACTGCCGCAGGACCTCCTTATAGCTGGTGACTGATGGGCGTTCCTGACCAGCCTTCTTGTACAGGTTTGCCAACATCATGTTTATCTACACACAAAAAACAAAGGACAGTAAAGCAAGTGTATCTGTAAAGGAAGTACTTTACCATGAGCAAGTTCTGATTTTTATTCCCAATTACCATTCTGCTTTCTATTAGAAAAATCTACCCACAGTCCTGTGCAAATAAAGATTGATTCCGTTCCTCAAAACAAAGAACAATTATCCTTATTTTTCCTAGTTCTGAAATCCTTCCAAATAACCTCTTTATATCTAACCAAAGATGTTGCCTCTGGAATTAACACAGACTCAAGAAATGCACCAGAATTTTAGTTCCTTTGACTTTTGCTGTTAAGATAATGGCTCCAGAAGTACTCACGCTGATATATTTTAAAGATTTGTTGTTGTTGTTCGTTTTTGTTTTGAGACAGAGTCTCACTGTGTAGCCCTGGTTGGCCTGGATCACATAAAAGATCTACCTGCCTCTTTTAAATGCATGCACCTCCCATCCGTGTTTCTGTGTGTAGGAGTACAGGTGCCCACAGAGGCTGAAGGAGATAGATTACCGTGAGCTAGAGTTACAAGGTGGCTCTAAACCACCTGACATGAGTGCTGAGAACTGAACTCAAGAGCTGTACACACTCCTAACTGCTGAAGCCACCTTTCCAGCCTAAACTCGTATTTTAAATTTAGTACTAAAGCATAAGAAAGTGAAAGAGCCAGGCATGGTGGTACATATCTTTAATCCGAGTACTTGGGAGGCAGAGTAGGCAGATCTCTGTGAGTTCCAAGATAGCCAGGGTTGTTACACAGAAAAACCCTGTCTTCCAAGCCAGCTACCACCCACCCCAACATCCACAGCCATCTATGAACTTGAAGCACGTAAAGGGGACGAACCAACAGGATGTCCAAGGGAAGCCCCAGAGAGAGCCCATTCTCGGGGGTGTAGCAGAAGTCAGAGGCCTCAAACCAGCCCAATGACCCACAGAAGTGGACATTTACAAGTAAAGACGAATGGACTAAAGGGAAAACTGTGACTCAGCAACACACTACTGCTTCCACGAAGAGATTCTTTTTTTTTTTTTAAATATTTATTTATTTATTATGTATACAATATTCTGTCTGTGTGTATGTCTGCAGGCCAGAAGAGGGCGCCAGACCTCATTACAGATGGTTGTGAACCACCATGTGGTTGCTGGGAATTGAACTCAGGACCTTTGGAAGAGCAGGCAATGCTCTTAACCACTGAGCCATCTCTCCAGCCCCCCCACGAAGAGATTCTTTTGCTGTTGTTTTTTTGTTGTTGTTGTTGTTGTTGTTTGATTTTTCTTTTAATTTTTGTTTTATTTTGGGGGGAGGTTGCATGGGCAAAAGGGGGAAGCAAGGGGACAGGGAGATCAGTGGAAACTGGATGCATGTTGTGAAATCCACAGATAATCAATAAAAGTTGAGAAAAACACTTTATTCAAAAAAGAAAAAAAGTGAAGAAATAATTTTTTTCCCCTTTCAAGACAGGGTTTCTCCATGTAGCCTGTCCTGGAACTTGCTTTGTAGACCAGGCTGGCCTCAAACTCACAGATATACGCTGGCTACTACTTGCCAAGTGCTGGGATTAAAGGTGTGCTGTGCGCCACCACCACTGATTAACACCTTCCCAATTTCTAAAAAGACTATTTTTATTTACGTGCACAAATGTGACTGTGTCTGTGGGGCCTTTGGAGGTCAGCAGAGGTGGAGCATCTCCCTGGAGCTGGAGTTGCAGGTGGTTATGAGCTACTGACGTGGGTGCTGGGAAACTAACTCTGGCCCCAGGAAGAACAGCAAACACTTATAATTGATGAGCCATCCTGAGCCATTTGTTTTTGGTTTTATGGGACAAGATCGGGCTTCAATCTCATTGTGTACCTAAGGAGGATCTTGAATTCCTGATCCTTATGTCCTACCTCCTGAGTACAAGATGGCAGACAGGCACCACAACTGGCTGTTAGTTTTTTTTTTAAGTTTCTTATTTAGTAGTTCAGCCTGGCTATTCCACAAATTTACGGCAATCCTCCAGCCTTAGTTTCCTAAATGCTGTAATTACAGGCATGAGCCACAACACTGAGCTTACAACATTTGACATAGATGTTTAAGAAAGATCAGATAACCACCCCCACCCCCAAAAAAATAAATGACATAGACCAAGGAAAACAGACAAACAAACTTGGCTTATGGCAGACCAGTGGCTAGAATATGGTCTAATACTTAAACTAGAACTGGTGTGGGAGAATTATCTGTATTCTGTCAATCATGTATTTTAATAAAACGCTGATTGGCCAGGCAGGAAGTATAGGTGGGTCAACCAGACAGGAAGTAGAGGCAGGGTGATGAGAACAGGAATATTCTGGGAAGCAGGAAGCTCCCTCTGCCATTCCTGCCCAGACCACCGAAGAGGCAACATGTAAGCTGACAGCTGAGAAAGGTACCAAGCCATATGGCTAACATAGATGAGAATAATGGGTTAATATAAGCTATAAGAGTTAACAAGAAACCTGAGCTAATGGGTCAATCAGTTTATAATCTTATGGAGTCTTGTGTGTGATTTTCCTTGGGACTTGCCGGCTGTGGGGTACCGGGCAGGACAGAAACCTCAAAGTGATCTCCAAAGGTTACATGACTTAAAGACTAACCACATTATTTAAATCCAGTGAGATAAGACATCTACATTTCAGAAAAATTTAAATATGGTACCTAATAAAGCTACTTCAAAAGAAATCCTTCGTTAAAAACCCTATAATCCTATACTTATAATCCCCAGCACTAGGGAGGCAGATGCAGATGATCACTACAAGTTCAAGGCTAACTTGGGATACATACTGAAAACCTCTCAAAAAAAAAAAAAGACCCAAACATGAGAGCTGGAGAGACTGCTCAGTGGTTAAGCGCACTTGTTGCTCTTACAGAAGACCCAGGGTTGTTTCCCAGTGCTCACATGGTGCTTCACATCCATCTGTAACGCCATTTCCAGGTTGTTCATTTATTAGGTTGAATGGGTTTTTTTGGTTTTTCGAGACAGGGTTTCTCTCTATAGACCTGGCTGTCCTGGAACTCACTCTGTACATCAGGCTGGCCTCCAGCTCAGAGATTTGCCTGCCTCTGCCTCCTAAGTATTGGAATTAAAGGCGTGTGCCAACACCACCTGGCAGTTTCCAGGGGGTCTGATACCCTCTACTGACCTCCACAGGTACCAAGCACACATATGCTGCACATACATATATGCATGCAAATACATACACAAAAAAATAATGAAGCCGGATGGTGGTGGCACACACCTTTAATCTCAGCACTCGAGAGGCAGAGGTAGGTGGATCTCTGTGAGTTCGAGGCCAGCCTGGTCTACAAAACAAGTTCTAAGATAGGCTCCAAAGCTACACAGAGAAACCCTGTCCTGAAAAACCAAAAAGAAAAAAATGAATAAACTTATTACAAAAAAACCTAACCAGGGCATCAAGAAGGCTCAGTAGGTGAAAGCACTTGCTGCACATGCCTGGCAACCTAAGTCCAATCCCTGTGGAAGTGGAGAACGGACTCCTGAAAGTTGCTCTCTGACCTCCAATGCAGTGCTGTCATAGTGAAGTAAAAGTAAATAAATAAATAAATCATGAAACCCCAAACAAAACACTCTCACTCCTACCGCTACGTTTTTAAGAAAAACTAAAAGTACCAAAGAATGTACAAATTACAAAGATGAAGGTTGGGGAGATGGCTCAGTGGGCACAGTGCAGGCAACCACAAGAATCTTGAATTCAAATCCCCAGGACTCTTGTACCAGTTGGGTACTGCAGCTTGCAACTGCAACCCTAGGACTGACAACTCACTGACCAGCCATTCTAGCCAAAAACATGGATCACTAAGATCAGTGAGAGACCCTGTCTCAATAAATAAATAAATAAAGGTGGAAAGACTAAAAGAGACATTCCAATATAAGTGTACACCACATACTAACTAACATACAAGTGTACAGGACACACTTTAACAGTGTACAGCATATTCACTAAGGTACAAGTAAACCTCATACAATAATATACAAGTATATACAAACAGACACAGAAATTAAAAGACAGATAATCTTTATGGTACAAAGAGGAAACGACCATGCCCGAATTTTTAAGCTCTAAACAAGATGGTATTTGGTAGGGGAAAGCAGCAGCCATGAGAACACAAAAGTAAAAGAATCTTTAATATTCTCAGTTATCTGCAAGTTGACATACCAGATATTATGTATTCACTCAACACAGTGGCTCTGAAAAGAACATCTGAATTCACACTGATGCCTACACTGAAATAATGAAATGCTACAAATTAAACTATTTTATTTGGCTTTAGGTAGTGCATTTTAGAGGTCATTTTGAAAATGCAAAGAGAAGGGGCTGGAAAGATGGCTTGGATGTTAAGAGCACTGGCTGCTGGCTGCTCTTTCAGAGGTCCTGAGTTTAATTCCCAGCAACTACATGGTGGCTCACAACCATCTATAATGAGATCTGGTTCATACATGTAGACAGAACAGTGTAAACACAATAAATTTTTTTTAAAAAAAAAATTGCAAAGAGAAAGCTAGAGAGACAGCTCAGCAGTTAAGAACACTGCTGCTGATCTAGAGGACCTATGTTCAATTCCTAGCACCTACATGACATCTTGCAACCATCAGAACTCCACTTGCAAGTAATCCAACGGCCTATTTTGACCTCACTGGGCACCAAGTAAGCATGTGATGCATATACATACAGGCAAAACATTCACACACATAAAATAATTAAATCTTTAAAAATTACAAAAAAAAAAAAAAAAGGCAGTGATGGCTTAAGGCTTTAATCCCAGCAGAGGTGAGCGGATCTCTATGAGTTCAAGGCCAGCCTGGTCCACAGAGCAAGTTCCAAGACATCCAGGGCTACACAAAGAAATCCTGCCTCAAACAAACAAACAAACAAACAACCCGACATACACACAAGAAAAGGATAGACACCTAAAACACTGTTTACAGCACTTTATTTATTTTTGTAGAATAGTATTTTAAAAAGTAATTTTATAACTAGGGGTATTGCTCAGAGGTAACATGTTTGTTTGGCAAACACAGAGCTGTAAGCCCAATTCCCAGTACAGAAAAAAGAATCAAAGAAAGAAAAAGATTATTTGTACATTTATGAACAAATATATGAAAGATTAATAAGCTTTCAAAAAAATTCACAAAGAAAATGCAAAAATGCTATTACCTATAAAAAAATAAAATATTTACATATTGCTAAATTGTCCTCCCTGCCAGGGCATACATAGTTCAGATGTCTAACCAGTTCCAGATAAAAGCACACTCTTTAATATACTGCCAAATTAAACACAAATATATATATTTGCCAGTATGTACCAAGGGATAATTTTTGTGTATGTGCTCATGTGTAGATGAATGCAAGTGTGCATAGGTACATACATATATGTGTGTGGAGCCCAGAATCAATGTTGTATGTCGACTGAGATGCCATTTCCCATTGACACTGGAACGCGAGAATCTACTACACTGGTTGGCCAGCCTGTTGTCACCCCAGCTCTGGGGCTATAGACATGTGTGGCTATAGAGGGTTTTTTACATTGGTGTTGAGCATCCAAATGCTGGTCCTCATGTTTACATAGCAGGCATTCAACCCACTGAGCCACCTCCTCAGTTCAAAGAGTAGCTTGTACTTTTGATTTTACAAAGGGAAAGATTAATACAATATTCCTGTTATCAAATGACCATACCATTAAATATAAAAAAGGAAGAAGCTTTTTAAAAGTGTTTTTGCACCTGCAGTACTGTTCAGATTCCTTCATTCCTGAGATGAAGAAATGTCAAAGAGGGACAGGAGAGAGCACTCAGTGTTAAGAACATGTATCTATTACTCTTCCAGAGGACCTGAATTCAGTTCCTAGCACCCACTATCAGGTAGCTTACAACTGCCTGTAACTCCAGACCCAGAGGGATCTCACACCCCTAGCCTCTGCAGGTACATACACACACACACACACACACACACACACACACACACACACACACACA